GTGTTTTCCAGTCTAGCCTGTTGGGGCACCATGCCCTGTCTCCAATGTCCACCCTCATCATTCCCTGGGGATCTTGCTACTCCCCTCCCCTGCTGTTCCGCTGCACTCCCCCAGTGCTTTGCCTCAGTGTGGCGGGGTCAGATCAGGTGCAGTTCTCACACTGTGTCACTGGTGTTGTCCCCTGCAGGGCCATGGGTCAGTGAGGGGGAACTTGTATCTTATCTTACTTAAAACATTATTTGAAAATATCAGTGACAAGCAAAATCATACCTATGTTTGCACGCTTACTTTGAAGCAGTTACTATTTTAAGCACAACCATTGTTTAACTGAATCTTTAAGTTGATGATGTAGATATTAGGTTTTTAGACATGAGGAAACTGAGCACAGAAAAGTTAACTTACTCAAGGTCAGTTAGTAAATGGTAGACTCAGGATTGACCCTCACACAGTTCTGCTTCAGAGGCCATGGCCTCGTGGCATATTGGTAACTGCCCCCTTATAGTTAACCACTTTTCGATTGGGTTATCAGTGGTGCTTTTTTTTTTTTAATCAATTTATTGGGGCTCATACAATTCATCACAATACATAGATCAATTTTGTAAAGCACATCTATACATTTGTTGCCCTCATTATCCCCAAAATTCGCTTTCCTCTTGGGTTCCCGGAATCAGCTCATTTTCCTTTTTTCCCCTCCCCCTCCCTTCCTCCTCCCCTCTCCCCCATGCACCCTTGATAATTTATAAATTATTATTGCATCTTTAGTGGCGCTTTTTAGACTGTCTGCCTTCCTATATCACATGCTGTGGATTCCTGTCAGTATGAGCTTGGGGGTGGAGAGTGTTGCAGGACAGTTTTGACAATTCATTCAAAATAAAATTAATAAGGTACATTTTCTGAAAGAATTGTAAAACTATTTTAAGATTGATTTTTAATTTTTATTATTTAAGATGTTTTTCACTGTTGAAATTTCCAAGTCTCTGCTTTGCTTCAAATGTTAGTGTTGTGCATGAGATTTTGATTTCCTGCTTATTTTCTCTATTCCTTTCTACCCCCTTGTGACCAATACCAGAGAAGTTTAGCTGTGTACTATTAGAATTGTGAAGAGTGAGATGAGTTACAGGGTTTTCTAAAGTCTACTCCAGGTTGCATATCACTGTTTTCTAAGAGAGTTTGACGAAGGTAGATGGAATGTGCTACCTAAACTAGAAGTCTTAAGGGAATCTTGGGTTTAGGTTCATTCACTAACCTATCTTTGCTGTCAATAATTGATAGGTGTATGTTTGTTTCCTTTGACTTTTGAGCTCTTTTCATTGTACTTTAATATATGCTTGAGAGTCAGTTTCTATTCACAGTGATCCTGTAGGATTCTCAAGGCTGTGATCAATGGGAGCAGGGCCACATCTTTCTGCTGTGGAGCTTCCAGTGGGTTCCATCCACTGACCTTTTGGTCAGCAGCTGAGCACTTAATCACTGTGCTACCACTGGCCTAACTAGTTTGCTCCAGAAATTTAAGATAAAGGTCCCTGATTAAAAATATTCATCTGAATTAGGGAATAAGACAATAGCTGACGTGTTAACACTGATTGATTGGATGTAATTTGTAGGCTTAGGATCTGCAGATTTCATACCATCAGACTCTTTAGAACGGTGGTTCTCAACCTTCCTAATGCCACAACCCTTTAATACAGTTCCTCATGTTGTGGTGACCCCCCCCAACCATAAAATTATTTTCATTGGAACTTCATCACTCTGCTTTTGCTACTGTTATGAATCGGGCGACCCCTGTGAAAGGGTCGTTCAACCCACAAAGGGGTCATGACCTACAGGTTGAGAACCGCTGCTTTAGAGGAATATGTTGAGTTCAGGAAGGTTTGTGAAAGGAAACACGGCGTATTGCTGTGGAGAAGCTCAGTCAGAACAGGTGGAAGATGTCAGCATGATTTTAAGGGAATGAAGCACATATACACAAACTCCTTACATATGAAACTGAAAACAAACCAATTATAATAACCCAGAAAGAATATAAAGTAATAACAAACACAAAATCAAGTAAATTATTTAAAAAAAAAAAGGAAATTAAGAGGTTGAACTAAGAAGAATAAGACTCAGTGCTTGGAGAAAATAATTGTCATGCCGGTAGATGCTGGAGAGAAAGGCAGGACTGCTTTGCTCATGTTTCCCATATGCCTTTTCTGAGAAGGAAAATGGTTTTCAAACTGAAAAAGATAGAAATAATATCCAAAAGCAAATCAACACCAAGGTAGGTGAGAGAAGAGAGCAGAGAGTCTCTAAGTTCAAATCTCTAGGCTCTGACAACCGTCTTCGAATGTGAACAGCATGGATCTAGCAGATTATAAAGTCTTGGTGTTTTGTGAAAATTCATGGAGGGTTAAGCGGTATGAGGATACTGAGGATTGACAGTCTACTTTTCAAATGCTAGTGGAAAAAAAGATTCCAAACATTGCAAACTGGTGATCTACAGTAAAATTCTGGGACAGGTGATTTGATAAGGAGACTTTAATCAAGAAAGCAGTGGGGTCATTAAGGTCACATGTTTCCACATGTCTTAGTCCTCTCCTTGGGGACTCGTCTTGACATTAGTTTCTGCACAAAAATACTTAACAAAGAATGCTATTAGAAAAAACTAGATGTGCTGTCTGTGTTACATGTGGAGCCTCATACTCTGCTGGCCAGACCCTGCCCGGAGCATTGGTTTTCAGTTCTGAGTACCATGTTTAAGAGGTTCCTTTGGAAGCTAGAGTTTGTTCAGAAGAAGCAAGCTTGATTAGGAATCTATGAAACTCAGGATACTGGAGAACCATTGAATGGGTAAAGATGTTTAACTTGGAAAAAGGGAAAGTTAAGGAGATGTAAACGTTAGTTATCTTTTACTACTTGAAGCCATTTGAAAGGAGAGTATTGATTTGTATTTCAAAAAATAGCAATTTAGTTTGGCCAGAAAAGGAATAGGCAGTTTTCTGAACATTTCCCTCACTAGGAGTTGTCCCAGCATAGTGGGAAATATGGGAGGAAAAGGGGCATTGCACTGGACTTTTTGAAATCTATGATTATGTAATATAATTGAAATTTGCATAAATTTGGAAGGAATTTGAGGGGGAGAAATCACTGTAGACTGGTGTTAGCATGGCAGATTTAGCTGAACCTAAAATGTTACCCTGTGTTGTATATATAGACTGGAAGGTCTGATACGCCGTCTCTGTGAGTTTGCGTGTCTGTATAGAGGTGGATGCATGGCAGATGGGGAAAATCTTAGATGGTGGGAATCAGAGGTTCATACTAAGGAATAAAAGGAATGATGAACGTTTTCACTCTGTGTGAAGTTCTTCAGCATCTTTACAGCCCCATGTACCCTCTGACACTACTGAGGCAAAGGAGAGTTTTGCGACCCTGCATTAATGTCATCAGGAGGGTGAGGTTTGCCTGCCCTGAATTAGACTTATCAGAAGGGTGGAGAATATTAAACAGGCAGTGGCACCAAGGTAATTTTAACTAAGGTACGTGTGTAGTTATTTTTTCATTTTGAGAAAATACGTTTTCTCATTTTCACTCTTTGACAAGCTCTAGTTTAACTTTGTCCCTAAGATGCTCTTTGAGTTTCCGTGCACCCTTTTTTCTTCTTCAGGGGAAAAGCTGTCGTGGACATCTTTTGGTCACAGTTAAAGAGTTAGATTTTGTAGATCAGTGAGGGGTTTTAAAAGAGCATGTGAAACGTAGAGTTAGGAAAGTGCTGGCACTAACTGGTGAGTACTGCAGGAAAGAAGGAGCAAGCACTTGGGATTGGTCACCTCGCACTGTTGGACATGGGAAGGGAAGAACAAAAGACACCTCCCTAGCCTTATCGTATTTGTGGTGGGGTGGGGTGGGTGGGAGATGGGGCTGGGGGTGGGAATGATTTTGTCCGAGGTAGGCAGGGACAAAACACATTTCATGTTCTAGAAAATTGCTTTCTGAGAGCATGAGTACTTTGCTATTTGTCTTTCATTAAGATGGATACCTGAGCCAGAGTCTTGCATTTTTCCAAGAGTCTTGATCATAATTCATTAGCTGAGTGGAAAATAGGGTACAAATTTATTATGTAGTACTATGATTCTAAGCTTTACCTACTGAGAATGCTTTCGACTCCTTTTGATAGTTGCATTTAGACGGATTCCAGTGACAAGGACTGGCTTTAGTATCTTGGGTTGGTTTTTCTTAATGTGAGTTTTGGCCCTCCCAGTGATGTATATTTTTTCCTGTTTGAATTCTCGTCCGCACAGAACTTGGAGGACTCCTCAAATATGTACGACCCTTCTTGAATTCCATCAGCAAGGCTAAAGCAGCTCGTCTGGTCCGCTCTCTTCTTGACCTGTTTCTTGATATGGAAGCAGCTACAGGGCAAGAGGTGAGCCACTTTAATCACAGAGCTAGACAATCTGGGGAAAGGTTTGTTTCCGTGAAAGAAATGCCTGCCTGCGCTGTGGACCGAATGCAGAAGGGACGGCGGGGAAGACAGCTCAGCACTTAGCATGTCAGTTTCTCTTTGTTCCAGGGCACTTGATACTTTGGGTCTGTTCCATGCTTTGCTTTGTAAGTGGAGATTGTCAGTGGTCCCTGGAATCCTCATTACATCAGGGTCACAAACTGATTCTTGTCTTTGAGGTATTGTATTGCCATACCTTTGTTGTCCGTGTCTGTGGAACCTTTCATCCTGTGTCACAGAGCTCCTTGTGAGGACCAATTTAGTCTTGCGACATCCCTTCTTGCATGTTTTGTACTTCGTATATGCCGTTATTAGGGGTGAGCAGCTGTCTGTGTGTGTCTCGTGTGTGAAAGTGACTCTGGTGTTCCAGTCCCTGTCCTCCACAAGTTCACCCTAGACCTTGAACTTGTCTGGATTTACTGGCCTCATCCCACATTTTTAAAGACACACTGTTGTTTTGTAATTGTCAAGAAGGAGACACAGCAAAATTTCAGACATTCTGCTGAAAGTGACAGATTCAAGCAAAGGTATTTTGTTAATTGAAATCTGTTGTAGAAAGAATATAGTTGTCTTTTCTACAGGTATACTGGTCAACATTCATCGAATGCTTGCCATGTGTTAAGCATTTTTATAGGTAAGGGAGATACAGTAGAGTTAAAAACTACAGAGTCACTACTTGGGAGGATTTTATTTTAATAATAAGGCAGGCAATAAATGTCAGATAGTATTAAATGTATGAAATGTCAGATAGTATAAGGGTTGGATTTGGAGCTGCAGGTGGAGTTGCTAATTGTACTTTTTGTTTTGTTTTCCTTGTACTCAAAGTATGGTTATGAAAGGTCACAGTAGCCTTTTGGGTAAGTAGGCATTTCATGGTTCCCACTTTAAAATAATGTCTTTTTATAAAATGTAGTTTCCTGCCCTGTTTGTTTCTTTGAAGTCTGGTCTAACATCATAATGGAACTTAGAAAAGTCTAATAGAACTATACATTCATTTAGTATCTGACATCACCTCATATGTATGTGAGAATTGGAAGAGTAAGGAAGACTTGATGCGTTTGAAGTGTGGTGTTGGCAAGGCATGTTGAACATGCCTCGGACTTCCAGGAAAAAAACAAACAAAACCGAATTCTGCCTCAGCAGGAGGACAGCCAGCGAAGTTCTTAGGGGCAAGTGTGCGGAGACTTCAGCGCACATACTCTGAACATGTGATCTTGAGGTATTAGTCCCTGCAGAAGGGCATCCTGCTCAGCATCAAAGAGAAAGACTAGGGGATGGACGGACACAGTTGCTGGAACAGTGGGCTCCAACATTGCATTGACCGGGAAGATGGTGCAGGAGTGGACAGTGTTTCTGATCTGTTGTACATATGGCCACTGTAAGTCAGAGCCAACTGGATGACACCTAACAACATTTCAAGTAGAACTGTGCCCCAGGGAGAAGATAAACAATATTTAGGCTGAGCTCGCCCTGTGGTCCCGTGGATCTGTGTCTTGCTTCAACAGTGTGTGAACGGAACAGATCCGGGACTGCCTGCCTCCAACCTTCCGCCATGCTCCAGTTTCCTCTCCGGAAGTAACTTCGGGACCATCTTCTTGGGACCAGCGAACACTCTTATTTGGTGTGTGGCGACCTCCAAACCGACGCATCATGAGCTCTCAGATCCATCAGAATGATTCCGCCGACGCTGAGGCCGGCGTCCACCGTCTGGTCAACCTGCACCTGCGGGCCTCTGACACCTGCCTCTCTCTGGGCTCCTTTTTCGACCGCGATGATGTGGCCTTGGAAGACGTGGGTCACTTCTTCCACAAGCTGGCGAAGGAGAAGCGCAAGGCGCCGAGCATCTCTTGAAACTGCAGAACCAGTGCGGCGGCCAGCCGCGCCCTCTTCCAGGATGTGCAGGAGCCGTCCCAAGATGAGTGGGGTAGAACCCTGGATGCCATGGAAGCTGCCCTAGCCCTGGAGAAAACAGTCAACCAGGCCCTTCTGGACTTGCATGCCGTGGGGTCCACTCATGCTGACCCCCTTCTTTGTGACTTTCTGGAGAACCACTCCCTAGACCAGGAGGTGAAACTCCTCAAGAAGATGGGCGACCACCTGACCAACCTCCACAGGCTGGCCAGCCCCCAGGCCGGGCTGGGCGAGGATCTCTTTGAGAGGCTCACCCTCAAACACCACTAGGAACCTGCGATGCTGAGCCACCTGAGAGGGGCCCTCTGCCTCCCCTCTGCTGGCCTTATCCCCTCTGCTGAAACGCCCCCGTGCCAGCCACAGCGCCACCACCCTGGAGCCCATCCCCCAAGCCGGGGACCAAATGAAAACAATAAAGCTTCCTTTTGCAGCAAAAAACCCCACAGTATTTAGATGGCTGCCTTTGGAGTCGAAACAGTATTATGAGGAGGTCCTCGACAAAAACCCAGAAATTTTTTCCCCAAAACTATTTAAATTTTTTAATGAAACAAACATATCACCTTCAAAGTACTCTCTATTACATTTGTCGAATCTGCGATTCCATTCTTGGAAACATTTTTCACACTCATCTGTTTCGATGGCTGACGGCACCTCCCTCATATTTTTCTTCACCTCTTCTGTGTCATCAAATCGCTGCCCTTTCGTGTCCCTCTTCATTCACAGAAACAAAAAGAAAAGGAAGACATCGGAGCGAGGTCAGGTGAGTAAGGTGCGTGGGACAAGAGAGGCATGCTGTTTTTTGCCAAAAACTGGTGCACCGAGATGGCTGTGTGAGTAGGTGCATTGTCGTGGTGGCAAAACCTGTCCCGGTCTGCCACAAATCAGGCCTTTTTTGGTCACACACCCTTATGCTATCTTTTCAGAGCCTCTAAATAGAAAGCTTGATGAACAGTCTGACATGGTGGAAGGAACTGAACCATCCCCCTCGCATCAAAAAGCAATCGAGCATATTCTTCATCTTTGATTCCACTTGAGCTTTTTTTGGTCACAGTGGTGTCTTCTACTGGCTTGAAGGATGTTTGCTTTCTGGGTTGTAAGAATAGCACTAAGACTCATCACCACTAGTAATGACCTTGGGAAAAAAGTCTGGGTCACTTTGGAGCAGTTCTTTCAAAGCACGGCATGTTTCCACTTGAAGCTCTCTTTCCTGGTCAGTCAGAACATGAGGCACACATTTTGCAGCAACCCTTCTCGTTCCCAAATCTTCCATTAAAATTCACCGAACTGAGCTCCAAGATAGTCCAGGTAACTTCCCCATCTCTTCAATGGTCCATCGTTGGTCTTGGAGTCCAAGTGCACAAATTTTGTTGACTTTTGTGTGTGTTCAGGAAGTTGATGGACGTCCAGAATCGGAGGTTTGTCATTAATCGTCATTTCACCTCTTTCGAAACGAGAAAATCACTTGTACACTTGTGTTTTTCCCATAACGCTGTCCTTGTAAGCTGTGTTCAACACAATAGTTTTTGCGGTATTTTTCCCGAGCAGGAAACAAAATTTCACAGGCATGTGCTGTTCTCTTACATCGAGCGTCACAAAAAAAGAGGTTCAAACGAAACTGCTTTTATGATAAAAATTCAGTGACCAGAGAAAACCTTCCCAGGCGATGCCACTGGGCGCACAAACTGAGCGAGTTGCTCCATGCTCGTCTAGCAGGAATAGTGCGTATATGAAAGCTCTGCCTAGTGGAGCCTTTTATGTATATATGAACTAAAAGAAAACAGGGTTTTTGTTAGGAGTGTTGGTCTTATTTAAATCCAACTTTTATCCCTTATACTTTGTATTCATGAAGAGATGACCGATAGTGTTCGTTTGAAACTAATCAATTTAGTTGGAACTCTTTGGGCAGAAAAATTTGCCCCTCCCCATAGCATAGAGCTGACTCAGTGGCTAGAACTGTGTTTGTTTAATGATCAGTTCTCCTCCTGCTCCTCTTGTGGAAGTCTACCCAGTCACAGTTTAGTGTTCTCCTTTAAGTGACAAGAGGGGTCTCCTGGCCTTTGTCATGTAGCTCTGTGTCTCCTTAGCCCCTCCTGTTACTGCGTTTGCACATTACCATTGTTCATTGCTCATACATTTTTGTCAGCCAGAGAACTTTTCCTCCTTTCTCTTGGGTAAAAAGAAGTGGGAAGTGCACGTGCGCATTGTGTCATTTTAGTAAGTAAATTAAAAACAAAACCAAAAAAATTTAGCAATTGAATGTTTATCAAGAGCCAGTTTTCACCTGATTTAGTTGTTTGGTGGGAGTAAATTATAAACTATCCAGATAAGTAAATCTTCAACCAGTTCTAAATTCTGTTTGAATCATTCAACTTTCTTCATTGTCTACTTCTTTATCTTTTGTGTGTGTTTGTCTACTGCTGATACTCTGTGGGGGAAAGGGGTGAGGCGTTCTATTTCTGTAAAGATTGGTGGTCTTGGTAACCCACAGGGCAGTTCTACTCTGTTGTATAGGCCATAGTGATTCTAAATCAACTTGATGGCAGTGAGTGAGTGACCATCTTGCTTGGTTCCTAACTTCTTCTGTAGAAGGTTTGTTCTGCAATGTAGACCACCATTGTCACAACTGCTTACCAAGTAGATCTCTGAGCATTGTATTTCATCTTTCTTATCCAGCTTGAGCCCTCGGTGGCCCGCCATTGCCTGCCAAACCAAACCAAACTCACTGCCACTGATTGCATCCATTTCTGATTTATAGCAACTCTAGGACAGAGCAGTACTGCCCCGTGGGTTTCCAAGGCTATAATGCTTTAGCAGAAAGCATACTCTTTCTCCTGCAGAGTGGCTGTTGGGTTCTAACTGCTGACCCGTGGCTAGCAGCTCAACACATAAATTACTACACTGGGGCTCTTTTCCATCGTTTCCAGAGTTAAATAATCCATAGTGTGTTTTTTTTTTTTTTAATTTAAAATAATATAACCCATCCTAGCAACCTGACTTTTGGTACTCTTATT